AGAAATACAAGAATCCTGATAAACCGAAACTTAAACTAAATGAGTATCGTCTCGTGAAGATCAATTTCACAATCTATTTAGAAGTCAAGACACAGAAAACAGAAATCACTTTTTTACTCGATAAGGAGAATTTTCATCTCTTGAAAAACTTTACCTGGCATTCTTATAAAAAGAAAAATGCTAATACATATTATATTTGGTCAAAAGATAAAAGAAAAACTTTACAACTTCATCGTTTAATTAAATCAAACTTCAATTTAATCGATCATATTAATCGATCTGGTCTCGACAACTGTGAATGTAATCTTCGAGAAACAAACAAAGAGAAAATGCATTGAATTGTAAATTATTTAATACTAATTCGTCTGGTTACAATGGAATCAACTTTAGTAAATATCATAAAGCTTGGAGATTTCAATGGTTTGAAAATAATAAACATAAAAGTAAAAAGTTTGGAATAACAAAAAATAGAACTAGTGAACAAGCTAAACAACAATGTATTGAATTTAAATTAGCTCATGATAAAAAAACTGGAAATAGAAATGGGTATAAAGTCGTTTATTAAATTTCATCAAAATAAATTGTTCATTTTATTTTATAAATAATCTATTATAAACAATTCTGCGTATTTATTTAAACAAATAAATAAATAATTTATTTTTATTTTATTCTATTTTAATGTTTTTTTAAAAAAAAACATTCTATGACCTCATGATTATTTTTCTTACAAATAAAACAATATTTCATTTTTTTACAAAGTCCTAAATGTTTTTTGCCACACCAAGAACATTTGTTATATAAACAATCTTTAAAAAAATGTTCTGTCGAATAACATGAAAGACAATACTTTGCTTTAAAATTACAATCTTTTAGAAATGTTTTGTAGAACAACAAGCTTCGCAAAAAACTTCAATGTTTTTAAACGGATCGTGGTAGTAATCGTGAATTATTTTTTTCGGCAGTGTTCTCCATTCACTAATATTATTTTTGTTTCAGAAACAGCAAAAACAAAAAAAACATTAGAAAAAAAAAAATACCTCATGATAAAATAACAGTATTTGTTATTAAAAAAAAAGAAAAAAAAATATTTATAATTGTTAATTATGATTATATAAGCTATATTCATATAACAAATAATCGAATAATATAAACCCAAAAATAGTTAATTTAGTTCGTTATGAATATTTCTTTCATTGGTTTCTAAATAAAGAAGTAAATGATTTTGAAAATCATCGCTAAAATATGTTAAACAAAAAAAAGCACTCCTTGTTTCATGATATCAGAGTACATTAATATTATAAATTAAAGTAAAATTGTTAAATTTCATGTTAATCCACATGCAAATTTTGTCAACAAAAAAAAATAACAAAGACCTGCATAATATATAAACGAAACAAAAAGCTTTCAGAAAATAAAGAAAGCTGCATCATCTCATGTGAAAATCCCTACCGACAAGCCAATCTTTTTTTTTTTTTTTTGTAATTTAATATATCAATGAATCTCATTCGAGTTAGAAACTAGATTTTTTTTAACGATAAAAATACAAGGTCTAAAATTTAATTCTTATTTAATTTGCTCTTGACAAAAAAATAAAAATATAAAATTCTCACAATATTGTTAAAAAAAACAAACAATAATAAACAATGGCACTCCCAACTCAAATTAATAATCTATTACCTTCTGAAATAAGTATTCTTGACTACCGAAACTTTGGTTTTAGAATGAAATTCAAATCCCTACATAACCATCCAGGATGTGCTAGAGTTTATTTTAAAAATGTTTTAAACCAAAATATTCCTGTCCCGAACGGAATTGTATGCCAAAACTTGACAAATAATATAAAGAATCACAAGATGCCAAGCACCGAATATTTTGTAATCAATAATCAAACTAAATATGTGTTTAGCTATTTTGGATATTGTATCTGTGGTGTAACTACTAGAGCAAATGAAGGATTTCAGATTTATAAATACTGATAAAATTTGATAGATTTTCGGCATCTACGATTATTATTTGTATAGTGTGAAATTTCATGCTTTGACCACCATAAAAAATTAATAATTTGTATGACATAAACATAAATAATTTTTACAAAAAAATTAAAAGTGTCTTATTTAGGTAAATAATAGAAATAGATAATTATAAATAAAGTGTGGTTTGCGAAATAATAGTAAAAAAAAATAAGATTAAAAAATTGATTCGATTGAACTTTCCTAGTCCTAACCAACAAATTCTTGAATTAAAAGGAACAAATTTCTTATTAAAAATCGAAACTTTACCGCAACCAAAACATGCGAGAGTTTTCTTTATAGATAAAGATACCGAAGAAGAATGTGAAGTTCCGGAGGAAATTAAATGTAAAGACAAGACGAACAATATCGAAAATATGAAGATGCCCGGCACCGAATATTTTTTAATCATTTATCCAAATAAATATGATTTTTTTTTTTATGATATAAAAAAAATTAGTTTAAAACCCGAACCTAAATCTTTTTTGATTCAATATTTTTAAATAAAATGAGATTTAATTACAAGTTTCTTTAGCACTTCTTTAAAACCAACGGGTTTTGTTTTTAAAATTTACCGAAATAATAGATTACAAACTCCTCAAAGAACCGTAAAAGTAAAAGTTCGTCAAAATCTGAAATAAATTAAACGTATAAAATAGAAAATTATAAATTAGAAAATCTGAAATTAAAATTATGCAAAATCTGAAATTACGATTATGTATATTGTAATTCTTTTATGTAATTAAGTTTAAACATATGTAAAATAAAATATTAAATTATATTTATATTTAACTAAATTACAATAAATAATTATTTGGTTTTTATTTATGATAATAACAAATAATAATATAAATATTAAAAAAACAATAAACGAAACAAACAAAACTTTATCTAAATAAATAAATTATTCTTTCTTAA